GACATTTCTTTCTTGCCAGTTTTAGTATCTTGTCTTTGTCTGTGGTTTTGGTCAATCTGGCTATGGTGTGCCTTGGAGAAGATTTTCTTGGGTTGATTCTATTTGGGGTCCCTTATATTTCTTGGGTCTGGATTTTTTTTTGTTTTTTTGAGAGGTTTTCGCTGTAGGGCACGTGCACTCACCAGACAGACAGAGAGAGACATAGAAACAGAAAGTGAGAAATCACCCCCCCAGAGGGGATGGTCACGCTGCAATCCCTCCTCCTCCATTCTCCTTTTGGGATTTTGGGCACACATGCACACGCGCCCAGCGTGAGTTTTAAGCCACCGGGTCCAGGACGCGAACCACGGTCAACTACGTGGGAGTCCAGCGACATAGCCATTACGCTAACTGCTGGTTCCCTTGGGTCTGGATATTTGAATGCCTCTCTAGATTTGGAAAATTTTCTTGCAGGATTTCATAGAATAGATTATCAATGCCCTGATTAGTTTCTTCACCTTCTAGGATACCAATAATCCTGATGTTTGGATGTTTAACTGTATCTAGTATTGCTCGTATATTATTCTCATTTTGGGGGGCTATTTTCTTAGTCTTTGTGTTGAAATTTTCTAGGCCAGAGATTCTGTTTTTTACATATGAGATTTGATCTTCTGCATGATCTAATCTGCTTTTAATATTTTCAAGGGAGGTTTTGATTTCCTGTATTACAGCCTTTATCTCTAATAGTTCCTTTTGATTTTTTTTTAATGGTGTGTGTTTCCTCTTTCAGATTGTACAAGAACTTCCTTACCCCCTGGAACTAATTGTCTCTTTTCTTCTGCATCTTCTGGAGTTCATTGTCTCTCTTTCTTGCATGTGTTTGTCACTATGAATATTCTAAATTCTATATCTGACATTTCCACAAGTACTATCTGTGGAGGATGAGGAGTTGTTCTATTCCTTTGGGGAAGAGAGATTTTCTTGGTTTCTCCTATTTGTTGTGCCTCTGTGGTGGTTTCTGGCATCTGATGGGTTATACTTTTTTTCCTAATTTCTTTTTTTTTTTTTGAGAGGTTTTTGCTATAAGGTGCGTGTGCTCACCAGTAAGACCGAGAGAGACAGAAAGTGAGAAATCCCCCCCCCGCGGGGGGGATGGCCATGCTGCAATCCCTTCTCCTCCATTCTCCTCTAATGATCTTGGGCACACATGCACACACACGTGCCTGGCATGAGTTTAAGCCACTGGGTCCGGGACTTGAACTGCGGTCGACTATATGGGAGTCCAGCCACATAGCCATTATGCCAACTGCTGGTCCTGTTTCCTAATTTCTTAAAATTCAATTTGAGTGTTCAGAGGTGTGCAGGAAGAGATGACATGCAATCTCTGCAGTTCCGTTTTTCTCCCATTCTAGATTGGGATCTGAAGGGTAAAGTCTGAGCAGAAAATTTATAATTGACCTAGCCCCTGAAAGAGATTGCTCACAGCTCAAATGCAGATGGTTTCTCAAAGAGCCTGCTCTTTGCCTCTCTACTCTAGATTGGGGTCTAGACAGTGAGGTCTGGGCAGAAAATCTTTAGTTGTCCCAGCCCCTCCTTTTTCTTTTCTTTTCTCTCTCTCTCTTGCTCTCTCTCTCTCTCTTTTTTTTTTAGTGTAAAGAAAAGGTAGTTTATTAAGTAAAAGTGAAAGTATACTCCTGAGAGATAGGAGTGGGCATGAGCCGACAGAGAAAGAGTGGCTCAAAAGGCCCCAGCAGTTGCATTTTGCCAAATTTATACACACACACACACACACACAGAAATCACCCCCAGGGTGGATGGCCATACCCCAATCCCTTCTCCTCCATTCTCCTCTTAGGGTCTTGGTCATGGACACACACATGCCTGGCATGAGTTTAAGCCAACAGGTCAGGATTTGAACTGCGACCAACTACGTGGGAATCCAGCAACATAACCATTACACCATCTGTTGGTCCCTCGGATTTATAATTTTTAACCTAGGTTGTGTGGGTCGATCATTGGCTGAGCCCACTGATTGTTTTCATCTCATTGGCTCTATCAAATGTGGGTGGACCCACTGATTTCTCATTGCTATATCAAATGTGGCTGGGCCCATTGATTTATCTTATTGGCTATATCAAATCTTGCTTAATCAGTTAGACATCTCCCACTAATTTCCTGCCTATATACTACCTTGGGCAGGACTTTTTCTGTCTTGATCAGATTTTTCTATCTAGCCACATGGGCAGATGCTCCAGCCCCTTACTCACCTCCACTTGCTAGCTTTCTCATGCCTCATTTTACCATTGAGAGTCATGATTCCCCATAAATCTTTTTGGGGAGCTGATAGTGGACAGTCTGTCTTCTGTAATTGCTTCATGCTGGAAAGGGGCATTGACCCTACCTATTGGGGATCATGAAACTCTTACCCTCTGATTTAGGTGGGAAAGTGAGGTCAGGGGCAGAGGTCAGGGGCAGATAACTGAGATAATGCCCAGGTGTGTCCTTGGGAGTGTTGGTGAGGGCCATTATTGGTGCTGGATGACTTGCAGTAGACATCCCAAGGAGTCAATATCCCTGTTGTATGGTCATTTGCAATTTTACAACTTAGTTTTTCAAGTTTTCCAACAGGGGTAGAAAAGTCTTCATTATGGGATTGGAGTAACCTCCTGGGTGGCTTGCCACAATATATGTTGCAGGATGGCTTCTGTGATGATATTGAGGTTCTTGGTGTTTCAGACAAAGAATTGACTGAAACACACAAACAGAGCAAGGAAAAGGTAGTTCATTAAGTAAGAGTAGAACTAGGACGGACCTGAGCAGACAGAGAAAGAGTGGCTCTTTTTTTCTTTTTTTTCGGTTTTTGCTGAAGGGTGTGTGCACTCACCAGAGAGAGATAGAAAGAGACAGAGAGAGGGAAAGTGAGAAATCACCCCCAGGAGGGATGGCCACACTGTAATCTCTTCTACTCTATTCTCCACTTGGGATTTTGGGCATGCGTGCTTGGGTCTCAAACTGTTGTTGGCCATGTGGGAGTCCAGTGCCTTAACCACCATACCACCTACTGGCCCTTACCAGCTTCCTTTTCTATTTCTAATACATACATCTCAGAGTTATAAAATCCAGGGCCATCTCTGTGGCCCAGTGGTAATGTACTGCTCAAGAGAGGCCTCATCCTAAAAGTGACTACCGCATAAGTCCTAGTCCTAGTTAACTTGAGACCAGGCATGCATGCAGGTGTCCAAATCTGATAGTTGGACCAGAAGAAGGGGATCGTGGTGCAGCCAGACCATGTGAAGAGTGCTCATTTCTCTCTCTTTCTCATATGCACATGCATTTTACTGTAAATATAGAAAAAAAATCAGAATCTTTTTTTAAAAAAGCTATGATTCTCCTCTGAAGACTGCTTTTGCTGCTTTCACAATTATTACTATGTAACATTTTCATTAAGTTCAGGTATTTTTCTAATTCTCATTGTAATGTCTTTCTGGACTCCTGACTCAATTGCTGGCCATATTATACATATGAAACACAATGTGGAGGCATCTGCAGCCCATCATGGTAGACTTCCTTCCAGGGAGAGTTTGTGTTTACGCCTGTAGAGAGCTGGAGACTCTACCGGCCTAGATCAAAATAACCAAGTCCCAGCCTCGGTCCCAGGCTGTGTTTTCTTCCAGAACTGTTACACTTCTAGGTTACCTTCACCTGGAGAGTGTAGCCCTTTCTTGAGCCTAACCTTTGAGGCCTGTCTCGATTCAGGACCTTGAAGACTGTCAAAAAGAAAGTTCTCATTTTTCAGGATTTGACAGTGACCTCGGGGCAAAGTGGCTTCCACTCTGCAGTCCTACGCCTCCACTTCTCACTCCCCTTCATTTTTGACCTGTTAACTATTTACTATCTTGTTTGCTTCTCTTTAATTTATTTGTATCTCAGCTACACATTTGAGTTGTGTTCAGTGACAGGGTTGAACCAAATGAATATTACGATTGCCCTGAAAAATAAGCTTAATAAACTTTAAAAAAAAAGAATGCCTCAGCCTGGCAGGTGGTGTGGTGTTTGGGTTGCTGGATTCCCACATGGCTGACCACGGTTCCAGTCCCAGACCTGGTGGCTTGCTTTCTCTCTCTCTCTCTTTGGTCAAACTAAGTAATAATAATAATAATGATAATAATAATAACAACAACAAGTGGAATTAAATACATAACTATTAAAAAAGAAAAACAGAATGCCTCTAAATACAACACAGCTTTATATTCACTAAATGTCAGCAGTTAAAGAATGTTCCATCAGTTCCAATCATTATGGTCCCATGTTGTTGAGTCATTTAGCAGCTAGCTTCTATGTGTCTTTCTGTATCAGTCACTTCTGAAGGTTAAATGAGAAGTCGCTGCTGGCACAGACACACAGATGTCACGCCTCCATAGCTCTTTTTGGACTTAATGTACCTACGAGCTTGCCTTTTTTTTTTTTTTAACAACTTCAGTCTATTTACCTCCCAGAACAAGAAAATAGCCTATTTCCTCTTCCAGTTGATCAAACAAAGGAATTTAGTTTTGCTTTTCTGACTCTCCAGCTCTCAGCTGCCACTTAGCAGAGAAAGGAATTGGCAGTTCACGTTGCATTGTCTTTTCACAGGCAACACCTAAACTCCCAGCTCTCCTTTCCTGGCCATGGAACAGAACGCTTCCCAAATCAATGGGAAATCTCACGTGTCATGAGTTGGCTGTTGCCTAGAACTGCAAAATAAGTAAGGGTTACACAAGAAACATTTGAAAAATCATTTTAATGTTTCACCCAGGGTTTAAAATAATTTTGCCTAAAGTTAGTAATATTATTTGTTTTGTTTCCAAGTACAGATATTTGAAAGAGCTTAAGGGAGGATTATAACTAAACTCTTTCACTTTTACAGTTAACTATATGAAAACAATGAACTATAATATTCCTCATTCATCTAACACCGAATTTTCATTAAAAAAATTAAGTGGATGCAAATGGATACTGATTATATTATACCTTTGATTTAGGAAGAACCTAAGGCCAAAAAGCCATTGTCACCACCAAAGGCATGCTCTACGGCTGGCTCCTGGTCTTCAGAGGGAACAAGTACCAAGCCTGATGTCAAAGAGAACACTGTTTGCATACCAAACTATCTGGATCAGGAAATAAAAGTAAGAGACAGGTGTATTAGATCCATGACTGGGGAATAGCATGCCATACCAAAAAAAAAAAAAAAAAAATCACTTGTAGCCTTAAAACTCTTGAGTGGCTGCTCCTCACTGACAAAAGGATTGATTTATAACTAACTACTTTGTTTGAAATCCAAGTTCTGCTGCTATTTTCATGTGTAGTCTTACTTTTCCCTAGAATCCTGTTACTTTAAATGGGATTAGACATAATGAGACATAATGGTTTAGACAGAATGAGACCTTTGGCATTTGCCAAACTCACCCTGCCTCATTGTCCCCATGTCTTCCTTCATCATTCCCTAATGTTTGAAAGGCATTACTGCCCAAATGATAGTGATTGAATGCTTAAAAAAATAATGAGAATAAATAAGGATAGTAATAATAATTTGAAAAAAATGATGAAAAGCTATTTGATGATGATGACATGGATAGTAATGTCTTTGTCTTAAATGATATTCATGGTAATTGTGCTGGAAAAGGAAATGTTATACACTATAAAGACACATGTGATTAAACATAATTTAAAAATATGGTAATAAATAAAATTTAAAAAGAAAAAGAAAAAAACAACAACAAAAAAGGCCCTGCTGCTCAATTCTTGCCACTGTCTATACATTCCCTTCATGTATTTTAAGGCAGCCATTCAATCAATAGTCTCCTTCTTGTCTTTGCAAAACTACTGAGTTGTCGGAAAAGTCATGATTCATTTTGCATAGAAAAATATGAAAACATTTTCTTCTTGGGGTTATAAATGTAGTTATATTAATAGTCACATAACATATCAGCCTCCTGGAAAGTTCTTCTCAGCCACAGTTATTTCTGAGAGCGACATAAAATGAAGAATAAATTGATCAGTCGATTTTTGTCATCTGCGAGTTTTTTCCTTTGTTAAATCCCCTTAGTAACCTCCACATGCCCCATCACAAGGTCCATGCAGTGAACTAAGGCTTAAAGTATTATAATCACGACTTTAACAGCCATGTTCAGGGCTCAGTATCTGTAGTAGCAAATAACAGAACTTTTGTTGTAAGGATGATTGTTGAGTAACACTGATGAGGATCTTATGTTTAAAAAGCACAACAGTGGCACTGGGGTAATATTTTATTCAATGATTAAAATTGGAAAGGAGAATAAAAGGAAAGATGGAAAAGGGAGAGTATCTCTTGATTTGACTTGTGTATACACGATTTCCTGATGATACTGGCTAAAAACTTCATGTGATACAAAAGTCTTCAGGGCTGCTGTCCACCTCCCCCCAGTGTCTAGCACACTGGTCTTTCTACAGTTTGCTCACTGTCATCATAAGGGCTTTGCCCTATGAAGAATTCTCTTCCTTTTGATCTTCTCAGTGGTTATCTCCTAAGAGTGGATGACTACAGGTTCTAGCACATGTGGGAATTCTTTAATCACACTTTGATATGGAGCTTTTTTCATTGCTCACAAGAGGAGGAAGTTCTCTAGTTTCTGGACTTAGATTAGGAATCTAAGAAAAAGATAACCACTGAGAAGATCAAAAGGAAGAGAATACTTCTCATTCTAGAATAATGTCAATAAGATGGGAGGATTTCAGTTATATATATTCTGTAGTCTCATGAGATGTTTAGGATGGATATCCAGAACTCAAGTTCAGGAGCCATTTTGGAGAATCTGTTAGAATGAGATTTGAAAAATCTTGCAAGAGACAGAATGACAGGACAACTTTCATGTTAATCCCAACAATACCACCTCCAGGATCTTTGCTGGGTGATTGTGGGTACCTCTGATGCTGAAAACCTGTCCTCTCAAGTTGGAAGCAGAGGACTTTTCAATTCCTGAAGCCTCCCTGGTTGTCTGCTCTACATTTTTGCCAATATGATGATACCTAGAGCCCCACATGTAGTTTTTCAGTTACCTCAATGGCAAAAGAAATATCAAGTTACTTGTAGGATTTAATGTTACACCACTCCAAGAAAACATGAGATCTTGGAAAAGTTCTTTGAAGAATACCAGGGAATAACTTAATAGACTTCTAAGGGTGGAATTACAGAGAGAATCTCCTTGGATACTTCACCATTTGTCTAGACCTGATCCAGACTTGATTGAGACCCTCTGAAACAGCCATAGTTTCTCTGACACTCAGAAGCCTAGCTGCCCCTACCCTGGGCTGCAGTACCAATGTTTCCTCAAGACTGGAGGCTGCTGTGGTCCATTGTATGTCTGCATAGATGCCCGGAACAAGAATGCACAAGATCTCCTAGGTGCACATATTCTACTTCCTCTAACTAAAAGGATGATTCTGATCAATGAGTGATCTATATGCTAGCAAAATCTAGGAGTAATGTGCAATCACTAGATTGATTAAAATAAAAATACAAGCAGAGTGGCCTACAGAATACCATAGGATTCTTAGATTTTTTTCCATAGTTGTTGATTTGTTATGAAATTGGGAGCAAACATGATCTCTTCTAGGATATGGAACTATTGAGGATGGAAATCTTAGTATGATAACAAAGTTCAACAAGGGCAGTTCATTTTTGAGCCCTTTAATTTCATCTGTATTTCCAGTCTCTAGATTAATGACTGACATAAATAATTATTGAATTAATAATAATTTAAGATTCTAGGCAGAGAAACTAAGAGAAAGGATGTTGCAGGAGTTTGAACAATAATTGATGTTGCTTTAGACTGGGTCAAACAAGTGGGAATACAAAGAAATGGAGATCTGAGAGATACTCAGAAGGTAGAATTTGCTGGACTTGCCTGACAGTACACTGTAGAAAAGGGAAGAGGAGCTGTGGAGGATGAAACCAGAGTCTTTCACAACTCAATGTATGCCAATGCTGTTCACTGAGATAGAGGAACTGGGAGGAAGAGCACGTTTAGAGCAGGTTTTGGGAAGAAAAATATGGTCTTAGTTTTAAGTATTTTGGGTTCAAGTACCTATAGTATATCTAAATGGATACATCTGGTGGGCAGATAGATATTTAGGACTGAAGTTGAGACAAATATAAATTCCAGATATGTCTAAATGCCAATAGCAGACAGAATGAAGGCTCTAACTTTATCACATGTACTTAGTATTAGGTCGTCAGGAAAGTCATGATGTATTTTCCTATGTTTTTCTTTGCAAAAAATGTGTCATGATTTTCCCAATGACCCAATACTTTGTACTTTAATTTTAATACTTATTATAGTCAATTTTTATTGGAAATTTCTATCTCCTTTTTCACTTACACTTCAACATATAGCTCTAGATTTTTAAAAATCTTAGGAAAGGATTCTGATTGAGTAAAAGGGATTATATTCCTATCCCAGTAAGTCAATCACTGAGTTCTAGTAACTAAAGTGCAATGACGAATCCAGCTCACGTCACGTCCCTCTCCCCCTCAGTATGGTGAGAACAACCCAGAGGGGCCATGTGTGGTTGACAGATTGCCATTAGAACCCCGCAGTGCAGTAGGAAAGGATCAATTCCCTCGAGAAACAACTTGCTTCTACTAGAGGGCGTTGGTACTAAACAGATACAAGAGAATGACACTGTCACCTAGCCTAAACTATTCCTTGTACTGAAAATGTTTTTGTTAAGACTTCACCCATACTACTTGAAATCTGGCTGCCAAGCTAAAGTTTACTTGACTAAGTTGGGCATCAGGTATGGAGGTGACTTTGGGACAATGAGATTCTGGAGAAGGTAAAGGAAACTTTGTAAGTTTTTGCTCACCATGCAGTATGGTTTCTGAATAGGTCTCCTCAAAATTTGTGTTAAAATTTTTTGAACCATCGTAATGGTGTTGAGGGTGGAGACTTAACCACTTAACCTGATTATAGTGTTGAAAAGCGGGGCCTTGGCAAAGAAATTAGGCATTGGTGGGCCCTCCATGACTGAGTCCTGGGGGGTTTATAAGGAGAGGGAGTGAGACAGAGACACGCCCTGCTCTGTGCTCACTCTGCCATGCCCTCTGCCATGTTATCTCCCAGCAAGAAGATTCCCACCAGATGCGGTCCCTTGACCTTGGCCTCCAAAACCATGAGCTAAATAAACATCTATTCTCTTAAATCATCAGACTCGGGTAACTCCATTCTTAGCATTAGAACAGACTAGACCACTTTGTAACTCTTATATTTTTTATCAGATCCTGGCAAAACTCTGTGACATTTTACATACTGACTCTCTGGCAGAAGTTCTACAGTGGCTGCCTCATGCGAGTTCGAAAGGTGAGATGATGATAAGCGTTTGCAGGCATTGAGCTCAGTTTACTATCAGAAACTGGGCATACATGCCACTAGCTAGAGTTTCCTACCTTGGATTGGCAAAGGTATTGTTGCAATATGATTTCCCAAGTATTTCAGGATCAGTCTTTGCAGTCCTGTGTACCCAGCTGCATGCGGGTCATTCAGTGAGCCCAAAGTTCAGTATGTGCCACATTGAACCCATTCGGGTGACGTGAAATGGTCCAGGGGGCCTTACTCCTGACTCAAGCTGTTTGTGTTTCTCCAAGGTTGCTCCCCCAGGGTTCTCTCTGGGCACTCCTCTGGCCCATGTGAATCCTGAACACAGAGCCTGTTCCCTTCCTTCAGTCTGATGACAGTAGCTCAGACTTCCAAGTTCCAGACTCTTCACAGCTCTGCCGATCCCCACACCATCAGCTCAGGCATCTCCCCAGCTTCCTCTGGGCCTTTCCTGGCCAGTTCCATGCACACCCAGAGCAACCGTGGCAGAGAGCAGCTATCTGCAAGTCATCTGGCTGTCAGACCAACTGAGGCAAACCCTGAGATGGGGCCTGGGAACTGATGTTTCTAACGAGTTCCCTGATGGCGCTGTTAACACCGGTCTGTGGACCACTCTTTGAGAACTGCTGCACCTGTTAGAAGGTTAGAAGTACTGGTGTACTAGGGACAGACCCAGTGCTGTAAAATGGGGAGTGTTTTACAAATAGGACCTTTCCCCAGCGGTGCAAGACTACTTTGTAGTCAGTGGGTCTTCAGTGATTTTCTACTTTATTTTTTCAGAATGCAATGTTTAACAGATTCTAGAAATAACACGTTTATTGTTGGGAGAAAAGAACAGATGAATTAGGAAATAAAAATGATGAGAAAGAACAGGAATAACCAATAAATGACCACAGGGATTTTCAGTGAATACTTTGGGTGTATCTTTTTAGATAGCTTATCACTATCTAAACTTATTTAGTCTGTATTTTAATGGGATCGTATTGCATTTGTTATTTTTGTATAGATAGCCTTATATTTTCAGCAGCAGCCTATCAGACTGTACTTAAGTTCTTTCTCTTTTTTTGTCATAGGGCTCATGCATTCACCAGAGAGAGAGACAGAGACAGTGAGGGAGAAAGTGAGAAGTCACTCCTAGGGGGGATGGCCATGCTGCAATCCCTTCTCCATTCTCCTCTTGGGATCTTTGGCATGCATACACACCCAGCGCGATTTTCAAGATTAGGTCCAGGCCTTGAATCATGGTCAGCCATATGGGAGTCCACGGCACCACCTGCTGACTCCCTATACTCAATATTTTAAAACTGTTCCACTGCCATTCGGGGCCAAGAAGCTCAGTAGGTGAACACAGTGAGCACTCTATAATATGACCAATGGGAACTAGGTTAAAGTGAGCCAGCTTTTCTGCCCAAACCTTTATTCTCACACAGAGATACCTACCCAGAAAACAGACTGCCAGTCTTTCACACTGGGATGCTGATAAAAAAACTAATCCTGTATTTCCAGTCACTGGTTAGTATCCTCCATTCCCCTCATGCCCATTGTTTTTGCTTTTAAATCAGAAAAAGAGTGGGTCTCAGCTTTGATCCACTCTGAGCTGGCCGAGATAAACTTGACTCATCGCAGAAGGAACGCCTCAGCAGAGCCGGCAGCAGGGACAGGGAAGCCAGCCACAGTTACGATGCCCCTAAATTTACCCACAAAGTCAAAAGTGCTGACCAGAGCTAAGGAGGAGCATCAGCTGGCCAGGTAATTAGATAAAACGGCCACCTACACCAGGGGTTAGGGACAGGAGGACTTAGAATTCTCCTGCTATCTCTCAAAATGCTCAGCACGCTGTGGTTCTTTTTTTATTTTTATTTTTTTAATAAATTTTATCAGAGGATGTGTTTGCTCACAGGAAAGAAACAGAAAGTGGGAATGCCTCCCCCATTCCATGGGGCATTGTCGCACCCCAGTCCCTTTTCCAGCTCTCTCTCCTTTTGGAATTTTGAGCATGTACACACACGCATCTGGCATGTTTTACAAGCTGCTGAGTCTAGGACTCAAACCATACAGTTGGCCATGTGGCATCCATTACTTTACCCACCACACCATGGGCTGGCCAATGCTGTGGTTCCAAGTCTTCTCTTTAGTCAGTAAAAATCTACAATATATGTAGGTGTTTTCTTTCTGTCATATGTGTAATAAGGAAATTGTTCTCAGACCCACTGTTCAGAACATTTTAGCAGAGGCTTTCTTATCTAATAACCTTTCTTTTGGAGGAGAATTCCTGTTGCACTAAAGGCAAAGCAGGAGTAGCCAAGAAATCTGAGAAAATAGATTGTCTCATTTTAATAAACTATAGAAGCATTAAAGGAAATTGAAGTTGTATTATTATGGTTATTGTATATTTTGTTAAGTGCATATCACACACAAGTATCACTTTTTTGTATGTACACAACAATAGGGATTAAAATAATTGTTTCATTTAATTTTCCCTGACTCTCCTGGGAGCTTTCAGAGAGAAAAAGAACACTAAGGGAATTGGAAATTATTTCAGGAGAAAATTTTCTTAAACCCTGTGATCTCAGTAACTGAAAGGAGTGCATATTTATGTATAACATCATGGTGAAAGAATGTGTGGTAAGAGGTTTGTTAAGGGGGACAGAAAGTCTTGTTCCTTTACAATTAAGAGTTGGGTTAAAAAATGAGGGTAAAGTCAAACAAGATAAATATCAAGCATAGCATGTTACTTTAAAAAGCATTAAGACAGAAAATTTTGCATTGCAATTTGTTTCTACCTTAAAGTTGGCATAAAATGAGAAACTGAGAGATGGTAGGGGCCAGTCTCTCTGCTTTAGTGACTAACATACTGCTTAGGTATTTCCCCAAAGTCAGAACTGGGCTTTCCAGTGGGGAGTAAATTTAATATTTACATATTAAAAAGCAAAGAATTGAGGTAGCATATTTAAGATACATATTCACTGAGTTTGCTGATGAAAGCATATTCTATAAAAAATATCTTGATTATCTAGGAAATTCATTTTTGTTCTCTCTCCATTGATTTAGAGGACCAAGTCAAGGATCCGAAGGAAATAAGGAAGCATCAAAAGGTTAAGTACAGTTTGTGCTCATTACTGTGTCAAAAGAAACCAGCCAGTTCTAACTACTTAGGTGCACAGATTTTAAGGACCTGTGCTCTTCAAGGAAAAATGGTAACATACTACTGTGATTTCCAGCTGGGCTTAAGGGACAGCATCTGCTGAGTTTCTCCTAGAGGTCAATTTGAATAACTGGACCTTTGTTTTGAAAGGGAAAGTGCCTGGCCAGGGTCAGAAGCAGGACAGCAGGAACTACGGCGTTGGTCACGCCAATCAAGGAACAGGGAAGACTTGCACTGACCTGACGAAGGGACAGTGACCTCAGTTTGGGTCCTTCACAGCTTAACTGTCTTGGAGCTAAATAATTTCTTCAGAGAGAAGAAAAATGGCCATTGGCCACAAGCAGGTGCCCTATGAGACAGCTGAAATGCCATAGCTAAGGGCAGTTTCGTACCCCCAGATGCCCATACCAGTCCACAGTTCAGACCAGGGAGAATCTAGAATTGTGGAGAGTCTTACCTTGGTCCAGCGTAGCCCAGCTGAGGCACACATGTATGTTTGGCAGCTCCCAATTTTAAAGCAAGCACAGCAAAATGACAGTAAAAAGCAGCACCTATAAAGTGTACCTACAAGTGTCTGACAAAATCTGTCTGCTGTTCTACAAGTTCCCCTTATACCGGGAAGAAGCAGGTAATCAATCAATGAGAGTTCTTTGGAGTCACTCCAGAACCCAGCAGTTTCCACTGGGCCGAACCAAACCCCAAAGAGGCTCTAGCTGCCAGCAGACACTAAGCGTAGTTTAGAATGAGAAAGTACTTCCTACGTGACTCCAGGAGTGACCCAGGGCCTGGCCTCTCCACTTCCTCGCCCTAGGACTGTCGAACCTGCAGCGCGGCTTCCTGTCTCCCTTGTAGGCTCCATGCATACTTTATACCATCTAGACACTTGGAAATTGTTGTGTAAGAACCCCCAAGTCATACCCCTTTCTGTTCTTTGTGCTATTCAGCCTCTCCCCAAATTCCTGTTCTTGCTCTGTGCAACCACGTGAGCCCTGAGAAGGTCGAGTACAATTAACCTGTTCTGACCCCTTGTCTGTCAGGGCCAGAGATCCTCCTTCTCCTTTTTCTCACCAGTTCCATCTTTGCCCATCACCCTTGCCCATCACTAATTCTAAACAATTCCTAACAGAAGCACGTTTGTTTCTAAGAGTTAAAGTATCTTCCACGTTTATAGAACAGGTGCCTCAGTGAAGATGAGCAGGTGGTAAGAAGGGTAAGAACAGATTTTATTAATTGTGCGTGTATCTGACTTACGTAACTTCATATAGCTCTTTGTGTATCAAATTTGTCACTAGAACATGGCAGAGACTGCCCGATGTCTCAGTTATGGTCTTACTTACATCGTTTTCTATTTCAGAGGCTGAGCACACTCCCCCACTGTTTATAAGAAGTAAGATGAAAATACCTGTTGTAGAATATGTCAGCAAACCAAAGTCTCCTCCCAGGCCTAAAACTCAGGACTGTGGACCAGCCCGCTCAATGTCGGCCAGGGCGATACAAGGACATGACCTCAGCCCCCCAAAAACATCTTATCCTTTAGCGCACCAGCGGTAGCAATTCTACACTGGGCCAATTCTTTCACAGGCGTGAGCTTCATGTTGTCATGACATCTAATGATTTTTTTAAAAGAATATTTTTGGTATAGAGGAATTGAGTGGTCCTCTTTCTGGTGGCATATGGAAATCTCAAAATACCTGTATAATGCCACAAATAAATATTCGTGGAGACAATGTTTCTATCTGTGGTTCGTTATAACACCGCATGTGAAAGAAATGCGTATCTGTATACTGCGTTTCCAAGCTTGCACTATTACTGCTAACACAGGAGCCAAAGGCCACGGTACTAGAATCATCTGTAATCAGAATGAGGCGGTTACGGTTTGAGACTCAACCCAATCTGTTTGAGGGGGTTAAAAAAAACTGAGAATTTTAATGTCGGAGCTTATTTTTTGCAATCTGTAGTATTTCAGTGTTGTTAGACTATTAGGAAAAGATGCTCACCTCTTCTCAAAAGAGAAGCTACAAAAATCATTCCTGGGGGGGTGGGCAGCAGATGGTGTGGTGGGGAAGGCACTGGACTCCTACATGGCCAGCCGTGGTTTGAGTCTTAGACCTGCTGGTTTGCTTTCTCACTTTGTCTCTCTCTGGTGAGCGTGCTTGCTCTATAGCAAATTTTAAAAATAATAATAAATAAAAATTTAAAAAATTATTTTAAAAAATGTTACTCTTGGGCTAAATAGTAGGGAGATTGTTAGGGCACTGGGTCCCACATGGCTGTGTGGTTCGAGTCCTGGGCCCAGTGTCTTAAAAAACATGCCTGGTGTGTGTGTGTGAATGCCCAAAATCCCCAAAGGAAAAATGGAGGATAAAGAATTATGATGTGGCCCATGTCCCATGAGGGATGCTTTTTCACTTTCCCTCTCTCAGTGTCTCTCTCTGGCAGGTACATGCACCCTTTTGTAAATGAAACAACAACAAAAATGTACCCACACTTATTAGCCAGAAAGCAAGTTTCCACTCAATGCTAATGGTGAATTTTATAAAATTTCTAACACTGAATTTTTTAAAAAATTATCAAATAAACCACTCTTTGGCCACGGCTATTATTCTTGTAGTGTATGGGTTTATTGACCAATTAGACAATATTTTAATTAGAATGTTTGCATCAATATTCAAGAAAGATACTGTAATTTTTTTAATTTAAATTTTATTTATTATATGTATTCCAAGTCTGCTACAGGGCATATGTGCTCATCAAGGAAAGACAGAGAAAGAGAGTGAGAAGGCAAATCACCAGGTCCTGGACTCAGTGGTTGACCATGTGGGAGTCCAGTGTCTTAAGTACCACACCACCTGCTGGCCCTGATACTGTGAATTTTGTGTTGCATGTGTATATGTTGGGTGGGTGTCTGCATGTGTGTACACGAATCTTAATAATAACATAGCACTTACTGTGTGTCAGGAATCATTCTCAACACTTAGATATGGTATTTAATTTTCCAGTAACTACTTAATGCAGCTACCATCATTCTCATTTTTTAGAATAAGAAAATTGAGGCCCAGAGAGCTGTACTCATTGGGATAAGTTGTAACAAATGTCATCTTTCAAAGACAAGGGAGGTTTGTTTCTCACTTAAGGAATCCCAAAGTGTGTTCTTTTTTTAGAGAGAATTTTTGCTATAAGGCGTATGCACTCGCCAGAGAGACAGAAAGCGAGAAATCACCCTTCAGGGGGGATGGACATGCCACAATCCCTTCTCTTCCATTCTCCTCTGGAGATCTTGGGCACAGCATACAAATGTGCCTGGTGTGAGGTTTAAGCCACCAGGTCTGGGACTCGAACCACAGTCAACTACATGGGAGTCCAGTGATGTAAACACTATGCCATCTGCTGGTACCCCAAGTGTGTGTTCTTGGTTGTGGATGTCTCTGCTGTACTTGGTGACTTAAGAGGCCCATGATTCTCCCATCCTCCCACTACCAAGGGCTTCACTGTCAACTGGATCCAGCTGGAGAAGGAGAATGAAGTGGAGAAAAGCATTAGCTTCCGATTGCTGCTGTATCCATTTGCCAGAAACGTGGTGACTTCATGCCACACAAATGCACTTTTCTTAAGAATCAGTGAGGTCTGAAATGATCTCAGGAGGCTAAAATCAAGGTGTGTGCAGGGCTGCCTTCCTTTTGGAGGCTCCAGGAGCAGTCCAGTTCCTTACCTCTTCCACCTTCTAGCACTCACCCATACTCCTTGGTTCATGGTTCTCTTCTATATCCAAAGGCAGTAATGACCACATTGTTCTCATAACTGTAACTCTGACACTGACTCTTCTGCCTCCATCTTCCACTTTTACAGATCCTTGTGGTAATATCAGGTCTGCCTGTTACCCAAGATAATCTCCTATTTTAAGGTCAGTTGATTAGCAATTTAATTCCATTTGCAGTCCTAAATTTTCCCTCTCCACATTTCATAGTTACTGGTTCCAGGGATTAGGATCCTTGAAGGGCAGGAGGAGAAGACGTTATTCAGCCTTCTATAATGACGGGTATTTACTGAGTCATCAGAAAAGTCATGACACATTTTTGCATAGGAAAACTTAAAAAATATGTCATGACTTTTTTGACAACCCAATATATACTTCTGGATTCTTCCTGGCCTTTAAATGGTAAGCACAGTCGTGCCACGGTGGTGCAGGTGGTAGGGTATGTAATACTGGAGCCCTCTGGAAAAGCCTTGGGTTTTGTTTCCTGGTGGACCTGAACACGCTGGCCCCATTGTTCTGCCCATGATCCTGGCGGGCTGAAGGCTGGGGTGGGGAGAGGAGGACTGTGGTGTGATGAGACCTTGTTGGGGATCCCTGTCATGAAAAACATCACCTCTAGTCATACTCCATGGTTGAGAACTAGTCTACCTGCAAGGGAAGCTGATAAAAACTTGAGTAGCAGCCATAGTCCAGCTACAGCTAAAGTCTATGGAAAGGAGAAATAGATTTTAGTGGACAGGCTGGCCCATCTCTTGTACTGCTGTGTTCTTATTATCCCATGTCATTCTCAAAAAGCTTTTTTCCCCTTAATAAATCCGAGTACCATACTACCTGGTGCATGGAAACTGCAGGTAGGACCAATACCTGGTATAATACTGTGGTTTTTATCTGATAACCAAGATGGCTGCTAGGTGGCTAAAGGACCAGTAGCATATATCAGTGTGGATATGCTCAGCGAAGGGATGACTGACACTTCATCACACTACTCAGAATAATTTAAAACCCATGTATTATTTCTGGAATTTTCATTTAGTAGTTTGGACCACGGTTGACTATGGATAACTGCAACCACAGAAAGCAAAACCATGGATGAGAAGTGACTACTGTGTGAGAAAGGACTGGTGAGCTGGCCACTACCTGGTTTCACAGTTGTTTGCTCAAACCCCGAGAGAGATGAAATGGGACCACATCCCCATTTTACAAACGAGGACCCTGAGGCATCCAAAGCCACCCAAGTGGCAGTGCCAAGGTTAAAGCCTAGTCCACTTCCCTAATCTATTAACCCGTTAACTGCTGATTTTTTTTTTTTAAGAGCTGCTATAGGGTTTGTGCACTTGCTGCAAAGAGACAGAGAGAAAGTGAGAAATACCCCCAGAGGGATGGCCATGCTGCAATCCCCCTTCTTCACTCTCCTCTCTGGACTTTGGGCACACATGCATGTACTTATACACAGTGTGTTTTCTCAAACTGCTGGATCAGGGACTTGAACTGCAGTCAGCCATGTGGTATCCAGCTGCTTCAACCAACCACCTTACTCACATTTATTAAGTGTCTGGCAAGGAGCTAGAAAACCAAACATCTCATGCTACTTGAGATCGCCTTTTGCTACCAACAGACATGGGCTTGTAGTGGGTAGAACTGTGTCCCCCAAGAAGCTGTATCAAGTACCTACAAATGTGACCTTACTCGGAAATAGGGTCTTTGCAGATGAAATCAAGCTAAGAGGTGGTCACACTGGATTGTGGTGAGCCCTAACCCAATGCTGTTCTCCTTGTAAGAAGAAGGAAACCTGGAAATAGAGACATGGCAGAAGGTAGAAACTGCCTAACTATGAAGCAAGACTGGAGTGCCACAACTGCAGGCCAAGGACAGCAGGGTCCTGGTGCTCGTCGGACCTGGAAGCCTGGAAAGATCCCTCCCTGGAGCCTTCAGAGGGAGTGCGGCCTGTTGACACTTGGTTCTGTATTCTCAGCCTCCAGAACTGTTAGAAAATCAATTTCCATTTTAAACCACTCAGTTTGTGGTGGATTTGTTACAGTACCCCCGTGAAACTAATACAGGGATTTTTATAATTCATGAAAACTAAACCACATAATGCCTGTCATGATTTTTCTCCAACTTTCACAATTGAAGAGTGTCCTGATCCATATGAAATAATTTAAGAAAAGGTATATTTAATGCTATGAAATGTTTACTCAGAAAAACTTGAACCTTTGGAAAATATAACTTAAGACACAAGCTTTGCTATTTTCTGTAGAGCTTTTCTTTATTTATGTACCTTACTTACAGATTTTACTTTAAAACAGATAAATATAATAGATTACTAAGGATAAAGCAACAAAAAGGGACCACTGATGCTAAATCCAATAAACTTTCTAATAAAGTGTGTATATAAGTGAGTATATAACTTATACAGACTATAAGTTAAATATTTTCTAACACGATATATTAAAAAGAAAACAGAAAAGAACAGAAATTTATTTTACCCAAACTCAGAGAAAGTTCCTGAAATCTTACTTTAGCTGGAACAGAGAGCAATCCCTTTACCTTAAACATAACTGCTTTAAAATTGCTTCTGCCCCATCCTTCCTTGCCTGTGTTCCCATCTGAACGTGCAGTTATGGGTATTAGTTCTTAATGAACTTTGGAGTGCTCTTACTGTGTTCAATATAACCATTCACACAAATAACAGCAACATATGGCAAACCCACCCTGTTATCATATAACTGAGAACCATACACGATGTAGAGAAAGATGTAAGTACAATTACATGCATAGCTTCATACATGCATATTATTTGCAGAAATATACATTTATATTCATTTGATTATTACTGTGATAGGAGGCAGATGCACATACAAACTATATTCACCTTAAGAGCCAACAAGTATTTTACTTGAAAAAGACGTATGAGGGCCAGCAGGCGGCCTAGTGGTTGGTACTGGACTCCCACATGGCCAACCATGGTTTAAGTCCTGGATCTGGTGGCTTGAAAATCATGCTGGGCATGTGTGCGTGCATGCCAAAAATCCCAGAAGGAGAAATGAAAGAGGATTGTGGCAAGGTCATCTCCCCCGGGGGTGATGTGATTTCTCACTTTCCCTTTGTCTCTGTTTCTCATGTGTTCTATGACAAAAACCTAAAAAATAAGAAAAAGTATGTATGTACATACTTGGTTAGCCACAGTGGCACAGTGGTACTATAATACTCCGTGGTGCTAAGGCCAGTAGGAAGGCCCCAGGTTCACATCCTGAGGCTGCCCTTGGTTGAGTGCACACGCTCTTCACCAGGCTCAAGTATCTATCCCTGTAATATCTGTGCCCCCATCCCTACCACCGCTATCCTCTATATCCTTACATCTACCCTCATGGAATAAATTAATGAATAAAGAAGTAAAATAAAAAACTTTTTAAAAATATGGAAGGTAAGACTAGCTGCTAAGAGTTTAAATTCCAGTATGAAAGTAACAGCTTTAGAAAATAAATTAGCCTAAAAAGATCAATGTTGTCATTGAAATAATTTATCACCATAATAGGAATTAAGAAAATATCTGAAAGAGGGTCTCTTCAGTTATTAACTCAGAACTGTGAAAAAAAATCAAAGATACAGTAGCTATGGGCCCCACAGTCCAAAAGGAAGGAATTACTGAGCCAGTTGGTTTGCTACGTCTTCCTAAAACTACTACATTTCTTCGAAGTAAGTAAATTGAACTTAAGAGCTACAAGTGGCAAGCTCTCATACGCAATATCCTGACAGACTTCCAGGATATTTATTAACATCTGCTCCCTTGAGTAAGTAACAGATCAGAAGGACGCTGATATGAGCATAAAGTAATAAAAGGAAAGGTCAGGAGGCACACTCTAAAGAATGTAACCCAGTAAGCGAAACGGAACGAAGGTGTACTAACAAACTGAAGTTCTCTACAGACTCTTGAGGCTTAAAAGCTATTTTTAAAAAGCACATACACACTGAAATCTCTTATGAAAAGAAAAAACAAGACTACTTTCTTACAGCATTTAAAAGGCTTTTTATTATCATTTAGCTCTGAAAAAAGTTTTTAAATTTGCAAAAATAAAAAAAGAATTCTTCCAATTTGAATATTCTGTGCAGTACCCCATTTTCTCCTAATTTTCCCTTAAGCTAGAAGACCGGGTAACGTTAGTGCAGTGCAGTGTCCACTGTAGGTTCCGTGCCATTTTCCTTATCCTGCTTTTCTTCCTCAGGTGGTAAATCCAGCTCAATTCTGCTACATTCCTCCTCACTAGAATCACTTTCTGATCCACCTTCAAGCCTGGCGGACTGCTTGTCATGGGAAGGATTTTCACAGGCTTTGTCTGTGGGAACAGCTCCTTTTCGTTGGGGTAAAATAGTAAAAAATGCTTCTTGCCAGTCTCTTGTTTCCAGGTATCCCAGAATAATCTCAAACACTGTAATGAAGACAAACTCCGTACATTTCTTAGCCACCTTCACTGCACTGTGTAGACACCATCTTACAATACGCCGCCTTTGTGTTAAGAGTGCGCTTTTGTCCTAATAACTACCCTGTTCTGCCCTCTTCGGTCTCCTACTCGCTGTCAGGGCATCCTTCATTCAAAACAACAGAGGACCTTTTTAATTTCCTTCCTATTCTCTTTTTATCCCTTTCAGTTCTTTATTGTTTATGTGCTGACATACAACCAGAGGAAAAAAAGGTTGGCATTCACCTGCATTCCTTCTACATGTCCTATAAGAGCCACTCATGGAGGAGTTTCTTACCTTTTTTCCCTACATTAGGAGAAAGAATGGCAATTGTCTCCAAAGTACTCTTCCTCCAACACATTGCTGAAGGACCTAATTTGGATTACTTTGTAGAAAAGCAATTTCTACTATATATCAGCTTTTAGAAGTTGTTCACTCCTTGAATCAATAATTCAATTTCATTTCTAAAACTCCCTAGGGTCTGCTATATTGAAAATATTCAGTACATAAAAAGGCTTCAATAAGTAATAATTATATACTGATTAAAACTCTCTCCTTAAAAATCTTTAAAAAAGCAAAACTCCAAGCAGACTTAGTCCATGGTTGTTTAGTACAATGTTGTTTATGAGAGTAAATAAATAAATAAATGATAAGCAATTCAACAATAGGAAAATACTTAAACTATTGGATATTCAGATGACAGACAATTACATAGCCATTATCATTCAATAACATGAAAAAATAAATGATAAACTGGGGGTAGCTAGCCCAAATTTCAGATCCTACATAAAAGAATAAAAATCCAATTGAAGAACTGGAAGAAAACATACCAAAAAGTTAACACAAGTGTCTCTGCATAGTGAGATTACAGAGATTATAGCTTTTCTTTCTACGTTTGCATATTTGTAATCTTTGCATTATTTCTATTATTTAAACAGACTATAATGATTACTTTTTAAAGTTGTACCCAGCAAATTGTAGTATTTTCTACTCGTCCCAATCTTAAAATGTAGAATTATTTTTTTACAGTGCTCACTCAGGCATACCTTCTATTTCACCCCTTTAGAACTTACCATGATTAACTGCCAAAACTTTGCGACTGTTCATCTTCACGAAGTTTCCAAGGGGGAGCTGTGCATGATCAATTCCATGATCTGACGCTTGCTTATGTGTGAGTCCCTAAAACAGAGACACTATGACTTGGACTACAGTAGTAAATTATTTTAAAGTCTGTAATGGTAAAAACAATTGTTAAAAAAAAAAGACATTAGTGGGCCAGCCAGGAGCATGGTGATTGGGTCAGCTGAATCCCACATGGCTGACTGCATGGCTTGAGTCTTGGCTATAAAGTGGCATGGAAAACATGCCACGTGTGTGTGTGTGTGTGTGTGCGTGTGCGTGTGCATGTCTAAAATCCTGAGAGAAGAATGGAGGAGAAGGGATTGTGGTATGCCTGTCCCCTCCGTGGGTGATTTCTCACTTTCTCCCTCTGTCTGTCTCTCTTTGGCAAGTGCACATGCCCCTATAGCAAATTAAACACACACACACACGAACTTGTTTTTAAAAATGACATTAGTTCAGACAGTTATTTCTGAAGAGAGTTGAGAAGTGTGTAACTGCTAATGTGAAAACATGTTCTTGGCATTAAGTGTGGTCAGAAGGTTCAGGGCATCGTTTTAACCTCCACAATTTACAATGAGGAAGCCAAATGTACTGCGTGTCCTGCCCAGTTACAAAGCTCCTTAATGGCAGAACCTTAAGAAGAACCTGACTCACTTGCCTGTTGATTCAAATAGCTTGTCACCACTCCACATCACCTTCCTCTCAGTTTAAAATACTCAGACTGACTTCTTAGAGAAGCACTATCACTATTTCTGAGAATATAAAAAACATAAGGAAAGCTAAGTTTCAATTATAGAACACTAAGAGCTACAGTGACAAAGGCAATTTAAACGAAACCTGACTTAAAAAAATAAAAAAAAACTATTATAAATTTAATTTTCCCTTTTTGTCAATTAAAAAATGTTGAATATGAAATTAATTTCCTCTCAAAATAAAACTTCTTGAAGCCTATGTTTAGCCAGGACTAAAATGGCCAAAAAAACAGAGTACAGTAGAGGGGCCGGCAGGTGGCATGAAAGTTAAAGCAGCTGGATCTACCTAGCTGACTTTGCAGTTCGAGTCCCAAACCTGGCAGCTTGAGAAATCACACCAGGGATGTGCGTGCATGTGTGTGTGTGTGTGTGTGTGTGTGTGTGTGTATGTCCAAAATCCTGGGAGGAGGATGGAGAAGGGACTTCAGGCTAATACTCTGAGGGTTGATTTCTCAATTTCCCTCTTTCTTTCTCCTTGTCTCTGTCTCCAACAAGCATATGTACCCTAGAGCAAAAACAAAGACAAAAACACAAAACAGAGTACAGAAGAACTAAATTTCTTACCTATTCTTAGTTTACATATTTGGGAATAAATAATAAAAAATGGATTGGAGTGGTGCTTTTGAAAATTGTTTTAGTTAAGGAAAAACATACAACATGAGAAGAAAATATGGTTCTATAAAAAAAATAGAATTTTTCCACTAAGGGAAAAGTAAAAAGGCTAAAAGATCATTCTGATAATTTGCTCTGATGCTCTAGAGGTGCACTGTTCAATTGCTTGGTAGCCACGTCTGACCACTTACATTTAAATTACAACCCTTAAAAACCTAGTTCCCTAGTTACACCGTGCATGTGTGACGTGCTCAGGGGTCCCGTGGCTTCCTGCTGGACAGGCAGCTGGGGCCATCTACCCACAGCAGTGTAGGCAGCTCTGCCACTGGAGGCCGCTTGACACCAGCGAGGAAGATGTGTGTGTTACTCTGTTGACAACGCGTTTCCTCAGGTACTTGGTAAACTTGCTTTTTCCTTAGCTAGGTTGAATTTAGCATTTGTAAAGTAACTAGAAAAGTGCGAAACATGTTTTCTTTAGAAAGTGCACTTCTGTAATTCTGCATCTGAGCAAGAGGATGGGGCCCTACGAGAAGAGAGAAAAGTACAAATATGAGAGAATAACATCTTGTGAAAGTAACACCACAGCTGGTATAAACCGTTGAGGCCCAGCCACCCAGTAGCAGCCATGGCTCTCACACAGCATGGCGCCCAGCAGGTGGGCACTGGAGCAGTTTGCCTGGTCAAAGATACCTTCTTTGCCACTGACTACCATCAACTTTAGGCTTAACTTCTCTGTGCCTCGTCTGAACATTTCCTAAGTCCTGTAAAATGTAGATAATAACAGTGCTGACCTTACTGGTGTGTAGTGAGGATTAAGCAAACTGGTATATACGAAATCCTTGCTTAACTCGCAAGGTGGAAATCCGTCAGGCACTCAACGGCAGCTATCACTGTTATTTTTCTATTGGGAAACTCTGACATTCTGATTTTAGGTACAAACGAAACCAGAAACAAATTCTTAATAGTACCTTATGATGGTTGTGATCTACTAATCCTCCAATTACATAAGCCTTTGATTCATCTAATTCCTTCAGTACATTAGGTGAATCTGATGTCAGATAAATCAGGTCTTCTTTTTTCATGAGTTCACTGTAGTGTTCTGGTTTGATATAGATGTCCTTTAAGACATAAAGGGAAAGATGTTACTGTTTAATAAGATTTTGTGAAAGCTGGCTAAAAATGATCATGTTCTTTTCTTAAAACAAACCTAGTTAAAAACATCTGAAACAAAGTTTGAAAGAAAATTGTTGTAATGTTATTACTTACAACTTATTACTAATTCCTTACCACCTTGCACCTTGATTATTTAAGTAGCCTCCTAATTTAATTTTCTGGCCTCAGACCCCTTTAGTCTACGTCCACACAATGATAGGCTCATTCTCTAAAAACAACAGTGTTCAATATCCTAGCTTTTTCTGTAGGATAAAACCCAAACTCCTTTACTTAGTAACTCTTTACTGAACATGGAACTAACCTACCTTTGCAAGTTTATCTCTGTTCCAACAAACAAATGCATTTTATTTATTTATTGAAGGTTTTTTGCCCTTTTTTTAAAACGTATTTCCAAATTGTAGTGAATTCAGTATTACGGATAATGTATAGTTTGCAGGGAGAAATTATATGGAGACCTTTAAACATTTTTTTTTTTTTTTTAAATCATGTCTTAAAGGCCCTTAGGTGGTGTGATAGTTGGGGCCCTGGACTCCCACATGGCTGACCACAATTTGAGTCCTGGACCTGCAGCTTGCTTTCTCACTTACCCTCTCTTTCTCTCTCTGATGAGTGTATGTGCCTTACAGTCAATTAAATTAATAATAATAGGGGCCAGCAGATGGTGTGGTGGTTAAGGCCGCTGGACTCCCACCTGGCTGATCGTGGTTTGAATTCCAGATCTGGCAGCTTGCTTTCTCACTTTCCCGCTCATTCTCACTCTGTCCCTCTCTGGTCAAATTTAAAAATAAATAAGTAAATAAAGTTAAATAAAATAATCCTTTAAAAATAATATTAGTAATATTTAATTAAATAAATAATTCTTTTAAAAAGGGTTTTTAAAGTTAGCAATAAAATAGCAGGTAAGAGTTAATGAGAGCAAGTACAAGCCAATAGACATCCCACTCTCTTCTCTAGTATCTCCCATTTGTCACCTTAGGCTATGTTCAGTGACACACAGGGTTTGGAGATTACTGTATTTAGCAGCATCATACAGAATTTAGATAAAAAATGTACATCTTTAGAAACATAAAAATACTTGGAACTGTGTGAGTGCTGATCTGTTTTCATTACCTTCCAGTTGATCCATCCTTTGTCATTTTCATCCATATTTTTTTTCAGCTGGCCTCCATGGCTTGTCAAGTAAAACTGGCAAAAGATTGGTAGGTACAGAGAGAGAAATATTTTATTTCCCTCATAAGCTCATCTGATCATCATGAAGCACACAATACACTTACTGATCAAAACTTAATTTGTGACATGCTTTGAGCACACAATAAATGTATGTTAGAAATGGCACATTTCAAACACTGGTCAGTAGATGGAAAGACCCTATTCTTCGCATCCATCTACTCTCATAAATCACTCTCTCAACCTGACCTAAGAACTACCTTGTGAAATTATTAGTGGCTCAAAAGGAAACTAAATACTATCAATCAAGTAGGACAACAAGTACCACAGCTCACATCAGGCAGGGGTGGCCACCTCCTCCCCACCCAACTCCCAGCACTGGAAAAGACTGAGAGCTGAGAAACTGGTACGAAAGTATGAATATGTCCTAAAGTGAAGCCATCCAAGTAAAAAGCAGTGAACAGGACAGTGTGTGTAAGACTGACGCTGACTACAAAGAGTGGGTCTTAGAACGACAAGTGAAAAGATGTTTAAAATAATGAATTTCTGTAGAAAAAGAAAACATTTTTCAAATAGGCGTTAATAAGATTAAGACTGTAAGACTTGCAAAGACAAATGAAACTATCAACATCTTTTGCCATGGAATATGACGGGAAACCAGTCAGTTTTAAATCCTTCCGCCTACCTGCACAGGGTGCAGTGCTCGTCTGTTTTCTGCGTAACAGCGTTGAATCTGCTTATGAAGTTTTTTAATGTCCTACGGAACAGTGCAGTTTTTAGAGCAGACTTATCAAAATCACCTATGACCATGTCATAATCTTAACGGAATAATAACATAAGCAGAAGAGATGACTACATAAGTACAATTTTCTTCTTAAATACAAAACCGTTCTAAATATTTTCATTTGGCTTCGTTTTTTTTTAAAGAGTTATTTCTGCCTTAGGGTGTATGTGCTTTGTGTGTGTGTGTGTGGAGGGGGGGTTAGGACAGACACAATGAGAGGGGAAATGAGAAATCACCCCCGGGATGGGGGAGAGGACCACGCCACAATCCCTTCTCCATTCTCCTCCATACACACACACACCCAGCATGATTTTGAATCCACTGGGTCCAGGATTTGAATCATGGTCAGCTACTTGGGAGTCTAGTGATGTAACTACACCATCTGCTGGACCCTTATTTGACTTCTTTATATACTAATAAAATTACTGTAAGTAAAGTTAATATTCTATAAGTGACTCATTATTCATATTCTATATCTATTTAAAAAGCTAGTTTATGAAAACATTGACTCTCCTTGAGACACCAATGACAAAATTCCCTTTGAGCCATATTATCACTATTTTAATGCCTTACCCATGGCATTGCTAAAACTCTGTGTGTCTTTGTCATTAATATGCAGTTACTGAATTTTGTCATCTAATTATGGAGTGTGTATTTCTCTGTCCCTTGTTTATATATGTGTGTGTGTGTGTGTGTGTGACACATATACACACACATATACATACATACATATACATATACATAAAAGTAACTTAAACTAATTTGTTATCTAATTTGATTTAGGAGGTAGAAATTTTGAAAACTTAGACTTGGGAACCAGCAGTTAGCGTAATGGCTATGTCGCTGGACTCCCATGTAGTCGACCGCAGTTTGCGTCCCAGACCTGGTGGCTTAAAACTCACGCCGGGCGCGTGTGCGTGCGTGCCCAAGATCCCGAGAGGAGAATGGAGAAGGGATTGTGGCGTGACCATCCCCCCTGGGGGGTGATTTCTTGCTTTTTGTCTCTCTGTCTCTGTCTGTCTGGCGAGCACATGCGCCCTATAGCGAAAACCTCTCAAAAAAAAAAAAAAAACTTAGACTTAAGACACATTTTAATCTAAATGTTGATCACAGGAAACAAGAATGATTTAGCCTACTTCACCTACAGGATTTTTCTGACAATGATTCATGATACCTTTAATACCATCAAGTCATCAAAACTACAGTCGATGATTAGGCGGAGTGTGCTGGGAACAACATGTCTTCGAATACGTTTTCTGTCATTTCCATCAGAGTTTGGCTCCAGTTGACACTGTCGCTCTAATTTCTTTCTCTTGCGCTTTTCCTTCCGTTTTTGTCTAAAATTAGTTAATTAAAATATTTTTTATTTGCAAATTCAGATATTCACCAGATTCTTCTAAATAAACAAGGAACCAATTACTTTTTTTAAAGCGTTAGAATGGACCATATGAAACTGCAACTTTTGTGGATCAAAAATGGTTAAGTATTAGGAATTTCATCTAAAAAACTTTGGATAGGAAGGAAACAAGATGGCAAAAGCACTCTAAAGTTTTTTATATTATAACTTTATCATCTCAATTGTTTCATTTATTATTGGTACCACACTAACCCAAAGAAAGTCTTACAGAGAATTTGAGTTATGATAAATTTTACTTTTATCACATTCCCTACATGATTTTCAAGCAACATTTATATAATACAGAAAAAAAGCAAAAATAAAATTTTTCATGAAAAAAATTCAGTTTTTCTCTAATCTACATCAATTATAGTTTATTTTCTCTCAGTACATGTTGTCATTATACAGCAGCTTCAGCCTAACTGTTCTACTAAAACCTGCAAGGTTTCGTCTAGCAAGATCAATGTGAGGCTAAAACTTGATCTTTCTGCATTGGTTATTTTTATCCCATATGTAGGGCATGGTTACTAATTATATCCCTTATCTAAGTCAGTTGTTTCAGAAATTGTGCTGTTACTGAATAAGAAAAACTACTAAATGCAAGTATGTCAATACTGCTAAAAAAAAATGAATTAACTCAAAGCGCATACAGTTTTAACAGCCAATTGATGGTGTTAGCTAAGAAAACACATAACCACCATTTTTTAGTTTCTTTCTTTCATGAGATAGAAAGAAAGAGGGAGAGAAAGAAAGAGAGACACACATAGGGCAGGGGCTTGTCACACGTGATCCCCCCACTACCTCCCAGCCAGCCAGGATCATGACAGCATGTGTGCAGCTGGTGTGTTTGTGGTATACCCAGGATGTAAACCCTGATCACCATGTGGTTCCGGCATTACAGAGCATGCCATGCCACTGTGTGACCATTGCTGGGCCCGCAGCCCCCATTTTAATGAACCCAATCACTTTTCACGTGCCACAGGGCTGTGTGAGATCCAGCGGTCTGCATTCGTGAACAGACACAACAGACACATTTTGAGGCCCATACTTGCGGAGTTCTCGTTGTTCTTCCCATTGTTTCTGTCTCATAAGCTTCTTCATTTGTCGTTTAGAGACTGCCTCAGACCCTTCACCTAATCTTGGCTTCTCGCTTTCCTCTGGATCTTCACTTACATCTTGCTTTCTTTCACCATTAGAAGTATCAATAAATACTGGCAATGTTTCAGATGACATTATTTGGTATCTCTGAAAAATTGAACAGTAAACTTTTGACATGAGCAAGTAATTTAGGAAAACACAAAAAAATGTAAAAAAAGTTAAACTGAACAAAAACATAAATAACCAATAGATGTAGTTAAAGTTAAATCATACCAGTAACATATTTAGGCAATTAAATGTCAACTTGGGCAAATACCAATTAATATAAATTAAATATCATTCACTAGCAATATTGCAGAAATATGAAGAAATGGGGTGTTTTCACGCCAGCAGGTGGCATGGTGGTTAAGACGCTAGATCTCATATGGCTGACTCCACAGTTTGAATCCCAGACCCAAGAGCTTAAAAAACATGCCAAGTACGTGTGTGTGCATGCCCAAAATCCTGAGGGGAGAATGGAGGAAGGTACTGCAGTGTGGCCATCTCACTCGGAAAGCAATTTCTCATCTTTCCTCCCTCTCTGTCTGGCAAGAGCACACTAGGGGTGTTTTCATATACTACTAGTGGTCATGATATAATTTTTTTCAGAAAGCAAGACAAGCTACATATTTCAAGAGCTTTAAAATAATGATATTTCTGACCCAGTCATTTATTTCCTTAGGATAAATATCTCTGAGTCAGAAATGCACATAAAAATATCCACGAGTGTACATACACTGTTATTATTCAACAGTGAAATGTTAGAAACTACTTGAATGTCAGCAAAAGGAGACTAAAACAATCATCGTTCATCTATAACATAGGCCAGGAATACCAAGCAGATGTAAAGATCATGTTTTCAAAATTATTTAGTGGTAAGAGAAAAAGTGGTAAGAGTAGTAGCTGTAATAACCACTACTTGATCAGAATCTGAACCACCCATATAAGACCTACTGTGTAAAGAGCAGGTCAAGGGTGGGAGCAACCACAAAACCAGCAGGAGATAGACAGAGGTGCTTAGCAGAAGGGAGGTGATCATTTCACTCGAGACGCATCTGCAAAGTAGAGTTATAAAAAGACAGAAATGATTTTTAAAAACAACAAAATCAATAAGGAAATAAATTCATTCTATACAAATTGGATTAGTGTAATCAGAAAATAACTTTAAATTAAGTCTGGAATATTTCAGAGAGATCATTAAGGAGTAAGAAACAGAAAGACAGAACAGGAAATTGTGACACAACAGCAGGCATTTGAAACAAGCAAAACAGGGGCAGCAGGTGGCGTGGTGTTTAAGGCGCTGGACTCCTACATGGCTTACTACAGTCTGAGTCCCAGACCTTGCCGCTTGCTTTCTCACTTTCTCTCTCTCTGGTAAGTGCACAAGCCCTATTGCAAAGTTAATAATAAATAAAATTAGTCGTTTAAAAAATATGTTGAAAGACATTAGACATGTTTTGAAAACAACAACAAACAAGAAAAAGAGGCCAGCCTGTGGTGTGGTGGTTAAAATGGATAGATCCCACATGGCAGACTGCGCAGTTCAAGACCTGGACTTGGCAGCTTGAGACACACACTGGGCACATATGTGTGAGTGCCCAGAGTCCTGAAAGGACAAAGAAACAGAAGGAAGGGATTGCAACATGACTGTTCCCATGGGGAGTGCTTTCTTACTTTCCCTGTCTCTCCTCTTTCTCATTCTCCAACCAGTGCACATTACCTCTGGTAAAAATTAAAAACAAACAAACAAAAGCAAAAACAAAAAAAATAAGAAAACAAGAATCTAGAGCTAGCAGGTGGCGTGGTGATTAAGGGCACTGTATTCCCACATGGTCAACCACAGTTCGAGTCCTGGACCTGGCAGCTTGTTTTCTTGCTTTCTTTCTCTCTCTGTCCCTCTAAATTAATTAATTAATAAAGGTAAATAAAATAATTCTTTCCCCAAAAATAAAACAAGAATCCATGAAAAAGAGCCAATCTGAAAACCAGGAAATGAAGACATAAAAATTTCAAAGCAGGGTGGCAGGTGGCATGGCGGTTAAAGTGCCGGCCTCCCATGTGGCCAACTCTGGTTCTAGTCCCGGACCTGGCAGCTTGCTTTCTCACTTTCTCTCTCTGTCTTGGTCTCTCTCTGGTCAAATTAAAAAACAGTAATAAATAAAATAAAACAATTCTTTAAAAAAATTTAATAGCTGAGACAAATTCCAGATTACCTGAAGTCCAAGAGGTAATTGATTAGAAAACACCCTTACAATCTGACTGAAAATATAGACAGAGAAACAGAACCAAAAAATAATATTAAGGAGCAGTCAAACTTGGATAACAAAATGAGAGAGATTTAGGCAAAAAGGTCATTGGAAGTGAATGTAAGACTTAACATATTCTTCAAGTTTTCTCTTTTTAACCTAGACAATAAGGTAAGTATTCGACCTAAGAAACTGGAGGCAGGGGAAACTCAGGAAGATTAGAAGAAAGAATATTTTAAAATACTGTGATCCCTGGGATCACTTTTAATTTACTTTCTTTCCATACACAGTGCATTAAATAAAATTCAGCAATGCACGTATCCAAATATTATAGAGTAGAGAAAACCTAAGTCCCACTAAATTAAACATGCAAACTTAAACATAAATAAAATTTACAAGAAACAAACTACTCTCTTCATGAAACAATATTCCAAAAGAGCACATTTCTGTTTATCAATGGCATCATTTTGGGTAAGTGTTTTATTTAGTTTGAGTGTTATTAGTTATGTAATATGAAAATTTAAAAAGCTAAGTAAAATATACTTTATAGCTTATGTACACCAGGGGGAGCATTTGCCTTTCCTAAGTCTCAAATTAAATTTAATGAGGCCTATCACAGTATAGTAATCTTTTTAAACAGCCTATCAAACGCAAGGTCACAAGCTAGTCAGCCTCATCACTTTTTTTTTTTTTTTTTTTGCTATCCTCAATTAGGAAAATGGACTGTACTAAGAAAAATTTTTTAAGTTCCAAATAAGCTGGATACAATGAGACATGAATAAGTGCGACAAAAATGATGCTAGCTTGGTATCATAAATCATTGTTTACAGTACATATACAAAGATACCTACCAGCATCCACTGTCTGTGCTATACAGTAAGAACTTCACTATGTATTGGTTTGTTCAAATTCTGTTAAGCAGAATATGGCATTTTACTAGGAATACTTGCTTTCTTACAGGCCACAATTTATAAACTCTTCTATGATGAGTTTTGTGTTCCTCACATGCAGAGACACTAACAGTATGTTTCCTTTTTTTTTTTAAGAATTATTTTATTATTAACTTATTTTAATTTGACCAGAGAGGGACAGAGTGAGAGAGCGAGAGAGAGGGAAGAAAAGTGAGAAAGCAAGCCGCCAAGTCCAGGACTCAAACTGTGGTCAGCCATGTGGTAGTCCAGCACCCTTAACTACCATGACACCTGCCGGCCCCACACAGTACGTTTCATTCATTCAACCAAATCCAAAAATTATTAAAGAATGATATTTTATTGTAATTAAATATGTGTGTGGAATTTTAACTAGGTATAAAATTAAAAATTGGAGATATTCATTCAGATACAGGCCACAGTGGGCTTATAAAAACTAAGGACTGGATAAAGATGACTAGGGCAATTTGCTGTGAATGTGATGAATGATAATAAGTATCTCAATCTTCCTTGTATTTCCATTTCTTGTTAACTTATGACAGAGCCTCCCTCCCAGAAAAATCCAAATGAATGTTGGAATAACTGCAGAATGGAATGAACGACCTGACAGTGAGAGCCAAAGAATAGTGCTAGTTAAATGTGTGGTACCGAAAGTTCTTTGTTTGGCTGTCAAATCCGAGGGCTGAGGGTTGGGATGAAGAGGAGACCCGAGTGGGGCGGGGAAGGGGCGGCTTGTTACTGTTTTAGATGAGAAAGCAATGGGTTGCGATCTTCTTTATATCTCTAAGAAAATTCCTGATTTTTAAAGACTTAAAAGTATTTCAGTGAAATCAAGTACGCCTCGATCTTCTTAAAGTCGTCCTCAGCTCTTCAGCTGGAGGCAAACGGCACCCGCGCAGTCGGGCTCGCCGCGTTTCCTTGGGCCCAGCCACAGCAGCCCTCGGACGAACGAGGTAATGCAGACGTAAGCAGGTAAAGCAACCCGCTAACGGCAGGTGGCCACGAAGTGCAGAATCATTCACTCCTTTCCCGCCCCTTCCGGGTCACATTCCGCTCTCCCTTCATCCTGGGCGAACTCACACTCCACAGAGTAGAGACTGGATCCCGACCCCCAGAAACAAAAGCCAACGGAGGGCGCCCCACTGGGGAATGCAGAGCCCAGGCCACACACCCTTCCAAGTCACCCGCCAGCTTACGCACTGCAGGGGCGGGACCACACCACAGTCGGCGAATCAGGAGCCGCTACGCGCTGGGGGCGGGCCTCCGCGACGCCATTTCCTCCGGAAACGGGAACGCTGCAGTCACTTCCGGAGCCCTACGCCATTTGTCCCGGAAGCCCGTGCTGCCGGTCGGGGGCGGCCTGGCATACACTGCTTTGGCGCCCATAGGTTCCCCAGGGGCAGGCGGAGGCCAGTTTCCGTACCAGGAGACTTACCCGAGCTGAGGAGCTGATGGGGAACGCGAGAGCTCGCTCAGAACGCCCGTATGGACGGTCTCGGTACTGCTACGGGTCTTCCTCCTGAAACTTCAACTCCCAGAGTCAGGGGCGGGAGTTCCACGGGCGAGGCTACAGTGGTTACGCCTTACGTCATCGGGGTGCGCCGACGCCGGATCCGCAGTGGGAGAAAGAGGAGGCGTTTCTATGGGGCGGGGTCTGGAATTAGGGTTTTGGAAGTAGGAGGTAGTTACAATGATACTTGTTTTTTTCCCTTCAAGAAGTAATTGTGTACCTATGAGCCTGTAATCACTCACATATAAGTGCGGGAGAGGAGGGATTGAGAGCTCTTAAAAATGCGGAACAGACGAAAGGTTCTCGGGTGTTGAAGGTAAAGCATCTGTAAAGGTTCTCCGGTGTAGGTGAAGCATCTGTTACCTAAATTATTTCTAATGTATAAAGAAAAAGGTTACCAGTATCGTCAGACGTTACGTAACAGGTAGAAGATTTAAAAAGTGAATCAAATTCACAGTAAAATGTGAGTTAAGGATTTATAAACTCATTTTATGACTTAAGTGAAACAGCATAAGCTTTATTCCTCATTCATTCCTTGAGCTGTTTTTCCTGTGCTATCTTGCAAAACGTCAGGTGGCATTTCATTGTTTACCATACTTGGTCTTATATCATCTTTTTGCTATATATAGACTAAGTCAACTGAGGGAGAAATGAAACATAATCCTGAAGATTATCATTTTCTATTTCGCCTTAGTATTTGGTCCTACTTCTAATAGGTGATTATTGACAGTTCTGAAGATAAGAAAGAGATTTGGGGACCAGCATTTATCATAATGGCTATGTCGCTGAACTCCCATGTAGTCGACTGCAGTTCGAGACCTGGACCCGTTGGCTTAAACTCACACCGGCACATGCGTGCCCGAGATCCTAAGAGGAGAATGGAGGAGAAGGGATTACCGCGTGGCCATCCCCCCTAGGGGGTGATTTCTCGCTTTCTGTCTCTCTGTCTGTCTCTGCCTTTCTGGTGAGCACACGCACCCTGTAGCAAAAAAAAACTCTCAAAAAAAAAAAAAAAAGAATGAGATTTGAATATAAATAGAAGACTGCCTACTCAATATGGAAAGAATTATAAGGCAAATTAGTATTGATGCTGGACGACTTTTAAATCTATTTAAAGGCTTCCGTGAGTAGAACATTAAATTCAGAATTTGAGGTTGTCTAAAAGAATTGCAATTTCTCTAGTAATAGTAACTATGTAATGGTAACTAAACTGTAGCTTTAAACCTACACATTTTACTTGGAAAATGGTGTCAACTGTTACACTGTTCTGTGCCTCTCACTGATTGTTCTTCATCTCATATCTAAAAGTTCTTTGTTAAGAGAACATTGGCAATGAAGTCTGGATCCACTTCTGATTTGTTAGTAGGGCATCTTTTTTCAGCTGCCTCCATATCAGGGCAAAGAGTAGCTGAGGGAGGATTAGTAATTGGATATGTAGCTCTTCACATGTAGGTCATTAAATTCAGGCTGGCATAGTAATGTGCCAGATCTTTGAACAGCTGTTCAGTTGCTCCTATGGGATAGTTTTATAAATAATTACACATTTTTTTCCCCAGAGTTAATACCTGGCATTCTTAGATATTTCAAACTAAAGTTTTTCAGTTACTAAAAAAAAATCTTCATGTTTTTATAATGGCGTCAATAGATTTTCTTTTGACAGAGACATTTAACTTTGTAGCAATGTACAGAAATTTAAAGTAATTCTAGTATTGGTCGAGAGTAAGTGCCTAAAGAGTCCCATCAGGACTGGCCCTATAGTGCAGTGACTAAGCACTGTGTAGAGGGGATCTTAAATGGCTAAGGGTGATTCAAATCCTAGCCCCAGCAGCTTGTAAAACGTGTGCAAGCCCAGCCTGATGGGATGGAGAAATGGAGGAAATACAGTATGTCCAGGCCTTTTGGGGGGTGCTTTGTTTCTCTCTTGCCTCCCCACCCTCTTCATGCATGTGCACACACCCTGTAGCAAAAAACAAAAAAACAGTCCATTTAATCAAAGACAAAACATATAGACAGTGTTAAGAAGGTAAAATCATATGAAGCAATGTTTTCATTGATGGGTAAAAATTTGTATTTATTTAGCACACTTGTTGAGTTCTGTCCTTTTTGTCTTAGTTTTGGTGATACAAACATGACCAAATCATGATCACTGTCCTTAAGGAATCTGTAGTCTAGTAGGAGAGCCAGCAGTAAATAAACTTACAACATATAATTTATTTGAGGTGCCTGTACATTGAAAGAAGCAACCAAATGTTCCTTGAGGCAGAGGACAGTTTCAGAGATGGAATAGTTTTGCTCCATTTTGGAAAATAGCTAGTTTTCTAGATGTCAGGAAGAGAGGAGTTTAAGATACTTGGAACAGAGAAAGACCTAAGCAAGTCAAAGTTTTACACATGACTGAAAAGCTGTGAATATGAAGAGGAAGAAGAGAAAAAAGAATAACCCTAAGGGTTTTTCTAATTTGAACTGTAGAAATGTAATTCTATGAACTGGGTCATTTAGAGAATACTGGAGGAAAATTAAGTTTTAAAAAAATAGTATGGATTCAGGGGAGACTGCAGGACATCTAGGTAGAAATAGGTTTAAAAATCATCAGCACATTCTTATAATTACAGCCACTAGACGAGGTTGAAATCAGACTAGTCCCTGGGTTACAAAGCTAACGTCTTTGGGGTCTAGGAGGTAACAAATAAGAAAAAAAGTCACAAACCTCATTCCCTCATCAATCAGGGTACAAGTTCCAAGTAGGAGTGATGGCCTAGTGACATGACATCTCGATTTTTTAAGAGCTGGCAGAACTCTGAATTTGTATGTGAGATCTTCTTTTTATGTGTCAGCAACTTACTGTGTTTGTTTTTTAAATACTGTGTGAGCTAGACAGCCCATGACTATGAACCCATCCAGACAATTGGCAGGCAGTTTGTTAAGTTATGCTGTAGACTGCAGAGTGAGAAGGGAGCTACAAGTATAACCAGAACTTTAGGACTTGAAAACAGCAATGAATATAGTTAAGAGCTCCTCCATAAGCCTGACCTGAAAATACTGGGCAATCATTCCAAACATCATCATTTTAAGCCTAGTTCTAATTTTAAGTGTGAATATACTCTTCAGCAGGTTGAGAGTGGGGAGGTGTAGAAATAGAGTGATGCTTCTGAGTACTTTAATTAGACTAAGAAAGCCAAAAAAGAAAATTTTAAATATGGCAAAGGGTATCTAAAGGAAGAATCAATCTCTCATCTGTAATCACTTTAACATGAATTTTGATTGACTTCAATGATACAGGAAAAAAACTTAGGAGACCAGTTGGTAGTGCAACAATAGTGCGAAGCTCTGTAAGGCTGACCCACAAGAAAAGATTCTGGGTTTGTGTCTGAAGACCTCCCTGAATTCCAAGAGTATGATCAAAGTTTGTCTGATATTGGGGATGAATTATGATGAGAGGACCCTATTGGAGGTCTCTGTCTATCTCTCAGAAGGAAGAAAGAAACTTTTTAAAACTTTAAAATGTGTTTTGAAATATCTTATTCTCTCAAGTAATCTATGAATATTGAAGACACAAGGAAAATGATTAGGAGGCAGCATTGTCTGTGAAACTTCTGGAATCTCAGAAGCACAAGAGGAGCATCTAGGATAGCCAAAGAGCAATAATAACACACCCAGATCATAGCTGTAACAACTAGGTGAAAACACACACACACACCTCTACAAACCTCAAAATATGGACCCATGGAAACAAAGCAATGGCATCTGTAGGAGGAAGTGGTGGGAAGACGATGAACATCTGAAGGCCCTGAGAATGGAGGGTCCTGAGACTACCAACAAGTGTTCACTGGAAAGCCGGGAAGACCAAGATGACAGCAGCAGCAAAACTGGCAGGGAGCTCAGCAAACTCCTGAGTTCAGGATGTTTCTAAAGAAGTGAGCAGGGAGGTCTGAATGCCCTGGGAGGGTGGGAGGCCTATGAGTTCTAAAAACCAACAAACTGGAGTCTCATTATTGGGCAGAGCCCACTAAGGAGAAACCGGAAGTAGAATCCAAATTGCACAGAAAAAGGACAATAAAGACAAAGGGAAAAGTAGGTTTGGATAAAAGTGGAAAGAGAAGATGGACCTCAGGAAATAAAAAAATTCATGTATGTTATTTTATAAAAGCACTGGAAAAGGAATCTCTAGAACTAGGTGGCTAGAAAAGCTATTCTACTTATTTTTCTCAAAAGTACAGAATAACCTATTTAGCAGAAAAAATACGCTACAGAAAAGGATTACGATTGAATTCCATTTACATTTGCTATAATAAAAATACATTAAAATATAATTAAAAATGTGAAGCAGAAAAAGGTGAAAACTATAACCTGATATTTCAAAATGAGCATTTAAAAAATTATATAAAAAATAAAAATCTCAAATTATTTAAGAAAAGATTATTTGAAGTGGGACAATAGAACTCAGAAAAGAGAAATATGAAAAAGTACACATATATATTCAACAGACTGGAAATCCTAGCCAGTGTAGTAAGATTTTAAAAAGGAAATAAAGGAAAGGAAGAATAAAACTCTT